TGACGCGCCTTTCCTTCTCCCGCCTGGTGGTGGTAAGGCCTTGGGCAGTGCCTAGGGTCCAACTCAGTGGGGTGTGAAACGCAGTGGGCCGTGGCAGCAACAGCTACCTGGCCCTCTGGGCGAAGGTCGAATTGTGACGAGAATGGGCTCTCGTAAGAATCCAAGTCGGGTTTAGGGTTTAGGGTTTAGGGTTTGGGGTTTAGGGTTTGGGGTTTGGGGTTTAGGGTTTAGGGTTCAGGGTTTAGGGTTTAGGGTTCAGGGTTTAGGGCTGAAACTCAGCCCATCCTGAAGTGGCCCATCCTGAAGAGCAGGAGGGGCAATTGCTTCTTGCTTGGCAAAGGTCGAAGATCTGCCTCTCCACGCGGGCCCCGCTACTGTGCGGATGCGGGGAGTGTTGGTTTAGGGTTTAGGGTTTAGGGTTGAGGGTTGAGGGTTGAGGGTTGAGGGTTGAGGGTTGAGTGTTGAGGGTTGAGGGGAAACCAAGGACAAGAAGGACATCACCAAGAGTCAAGGAGCCGAGGGGCTTCTAACCAGCAGGTTGGGCTTAAGGTTTCAAGGCCCAGGGGTGTAGGGTTTAGGGTTTAGGGAGTAGGGTCGCGCCGTTGGGGCCTCGCGCGCAACTCCGCTTGAAAAACTGATCCACAGGCGCTTTGCTGTTGGGACAAGCTACGGATGGCTGACTTAGGTTAGGCCCACCATGCAGCAAGCAGTCTCCAGACCCTAAACTTAAACCCTAAACCCGAAACCCTAGAACCTGAACTCTACAACGGAAATCCAAGCTATCACACCTTGGACCGTTCAGCGATGGTTGTCCGGGGGCCTAACCTACTAATTGCTTAAGTCGTTTTGGGGTTCTTCAGCAAATAGTAGTAGCCCGGTGACCGACTGGCTGTGACGAATCCCGGGATGGGATGGCCACCTTCGTGTTCCACACCCGATGCGGTGTCCCAGCCACGGGGGCCCGTGCGTCGTGTGGCCCCCCGTGGGTATGGGCTTACTTGGAGGTTCCAGGGTACTTCTAACCCATTACTAAGTCTGCCTACTTAGAGGACTTAGGGGGCTTATGACCAGCTAGAAATGGGGGTTATAAGTACCCCGTACCCCCAAGTACTTGGAGGTTCATGATACTTTGCGACTCAATTAAAACCGTACTTATCACCCAAATATAACCATATCAGCGCACTGAAGGGGCCTACAAGTGGGTTATGAGTACAGTTGTATCGGGGTTCTAAGTACCCTGTACCTCCAAGTAGAGAACGCTCGAGCCTCATACAGAGTGCAGGGATTTTCAGCCTGCTTCGAATGTATATAATGTCGACCGCACGCGCTCCGACCTCTAAAGAGCACTCGTTAGGCGCTCGATCCGCAGGACTTACTGCTCAGAGCGCAGTGGAGAGGGTCGCAAAGCCAAACCGGTACATCCACTGCCTCCCTGCAGCATGGTCAGACGCCGACGAAAGCCTGATAGGATGCCACCACGAAAGCCACGAAAGCCCCTGTATGCCAAAAGCTCTTGAACACAAAGCCCTAGAACCAAGCCATGTCGGTCGCTGCCTCAGTGGACGCCGAACTGAACATCAGCTCGCAAGCGACTGGTTCTGAAGGGGTAGTTGGGCGAGTGAACTGCAGGCACATGAACTTCTTTCCCCCACTCCCCTTTCAGCACCAGTAAGACAGGTTTGCACATCTCCAGAGGGTGTCGTATAAACAGCCACAAGGTCTGTTTAGGGTTTAGGGTTTAGGGTTTAGGGTTTAGGGTTTAGGGTTTAGGGTTTAGGGTTTAGGGTTTGGGGTTTGGGGTTTGGGGTTTGGGGTTTGGGGTTTGGGGTTTGGGGTTTGGGGTTTGGGGTTTGGGGTGCCAAGTAACACGAAAACCGCTAAAGCCACGCATGACATCCTCCCATGGAGCTCCGGTCTTCCGAATCTCTTGAAACTGAGCCGGAGAGGTCGCGCGAACAGAAATCGTGCTGGTTTTTTGGGTTCAGTGTGGGCACAAAGCCGTCTCGACTCAAAGCTCTGCAAGATAGGGCACGACCTCCAATCCAACTCAGGGCACTCTATGCGCCTGCTAAACATGTCGATGGCCCAGCATCTCGGCTAAATGTGGCGCCTACAAGAGTCGCCAAGGCTCGCCAGGCAAGCGACCGCTATCCACAGTGATCCCCAGCGGCCCGAGGGGAACCCAGGCATGGGGATCCAAAAAGTCTCTCCAAGCTCCGGATATCATCCTGATGCCTCAATGATACCCTCAACTTGTGCACCACAGACTCTAATTTCCCAAGTCCTTCTCAACCAGGAATACATCCTCCCAGCAGCCTCTACCCTAACCCCTAAACCCTGAACCCTAAACCCTTCAGAAGCTTGGTGCTTCAAACTGGCCCTGGTAAGCTTGGTGCTTCCATAGAGGCCTGTCCCGTGTAGTAGCGGCTGATGCCGTGGCGCGCGTAGAGGATCCTGAGCGGTTTAGGGTTTAGGGTTTAGGGTTCAGGGTTTAGGGTTTAGGGTTTAGGGTTTAGGGTTCAGGGTTTAGGTTTAGAGAAACACCCTTCCCATGTTCGACTACATCATTTGTGACTGAATAGATTGTGCTCTGGTCGTGTCTGTGTATGCAGACACTCACGTCTACAAATATACATAGATATACAGAAGATTCAACAAAGTCGAACAAACATAAATCTGATAAGTAGAAGTATGATGAAGCGGACACATGTTACTCAACACACTAGCATCATCATAAACAAAAGCCCACAGTGTATAACTTGCCATCGCCTGTCGGCAGGTCTGGGCGTGTGTGAGCATACACACACACACACACATATATATATATATATATATAAATACACATGTATGTATGCAGTATGTATGTATGTATTTATGTATGTATGTATGTATGATCCCGGTTCTCGGTTCGAACGAAGCATAAGCCCAGGTTTGAATGCTACACTTGTTTCTTGCTTGTCCAGCTTCTCATTATCCCCTTATACTCGCTGTGTAAATGCAGATCTCAAGATGTAAACGGAACTTCATTAGTAAGGACATAACAAAGTTTACTAGAACCCGTGTACAGTGCACACTTATAATTGCAGTGCACACTTATAATTCAGCTTACAATGGCCTTACTATTCGTCATCACCATTGCTCACATTATAAGCGGTCCATTTCGCGCACCAAATGAAACAAATGAGCGAATACACAGCGACGCGCGGCAAATTCACGCACGCGTGCGACAGTAATAAAATAGAATGCACGAAAAGAACTCAATGACCTTACGCACCAAATAAATAGAAAGGTGGTAGCCCGAAGGCAGAAACCGAGGTTGACCACGTTCTCCAGCACTAACATGCACTAACACACTATGAATACGGCCCGAACTTGAAAGCCAAGAGCAATGAAATTAGTTGGGAATCCTCTTTGTTGTGCGGCCATACAACCAATTCTGTAATTCTGAGCTGGATGGAAAACAACCAATAGCAATAGTTGCCCAAGCAATAAGGCCCTGAATGGCCCTCATGCCAAGCAACCCTGTTTAAATATGTGCATCCTCATATTCCCCCCCCCCCCACCCCCAACAAGAAACCAACAAGTAGAAACAAAAAACGAAAATCCATAATACTAGAGGCACCCCAAAACCGGCATCGGCAAGGAAGAAGGCAGAGAAATCGTGGGCAAGGCCCGTTTGGGGGCTTGGCGTGCCTTGCCCACGAGTTCTTGGGCCTTGCCCCGGAATGTTTGTACCTTGCCCACGAATTTCCTTAGGGTTCAAGTCACTATATGGGTGGTTGTCAAAATTATGGTCCCTTTTTGGATCCCTATTCTAATACGGCACCTAATATTTAGGGTACCCCAAAAGGGATGATAATTTTAACAACCACCCATATGACAGAGAGGGTTTAGGGTTCAGAGTTTAGGGCTTAGGGTTGAATCAAAGCCCTGCCCTCATAGGGGGTCTCCAGACTCCCCCGTCGCTTAGTGAAGTATTATTCCATACATCACATCATTGGGGTTCTTATAGGGTTCTTAAGAGAGGGGGCTTCGAGGGTGGTAAAGGGGTGTAACCCAAGGTTCCCTAATACTCCCTAATACTCCCTAATACTACCTAATACTCCCTAATACTCCCTAATACTCCCTAATACTCCCTAATACTCCCTAATACTCCCTAATACTCCCTAATACTCCCTAATACTCCCTAATACTCCCCACTCCTCCCCTAAGCTTCCCTGAAGGTTCCCTTCGTACCTACCCCCCATGAACCGCCCTCCCTTAAGGACCCGGTTTGGGGTTTAGGGTTTAGGGCTTAAGGTTTAGGGTTTAGGGTTTAGTGTTTAGGGTTTAGAGTTTAGGGTCTAGGGTTAACCCCATAAGGTTCCTATTGCATTCTGAGGGATATTTCTTCTTGAAGGGTATCGGAGTCTCTGGTGGCAAGGCAGAAAAATTCGTGGGCAAGGCGCAAACTCATGGGCAAGGCAGAAAAATTCGTGCGATTGGTGGGCAAGACACAAACATCCGCGGGTAAGACGCAAAAATTCGTGGGCAAGGCACTAAGATTCGTGTGCAAAAGCCCGTTTTGGGGTTTTGAGATTCAAATCAGCTGTGTGGAGAATCTTAAACCTTGAATTTCTTATGGCTTAGGATTCTCTGAGCGGGTGAGTATTGCACTAGCCCGAGGCACCAAGCTCGAACAAAGACTGCTCGACCCGGAGCTGCTGAACCCTAAACCCTAAACCCGGAGGACACCCCATAGACTAACTCACCATGCAAGTTGCAGGAATTTCGAGCTGGCACCATAAAACACAATCAAAAAAGTAGAGTCGACCCAGAACCCTACAGTCTGAAACCTTTAAACAACACACACTCTTGTCAATCCCAAACCCTAAGCCCTAAGCCCTAAGCCCTAAGCCCTAAGCCCTAAACCCTAAACCCTAAACCCGAAACCCTAAACGCAAATATTAAGCCCTTAACCCTGAACACCCCGGACCGGCGTCTGAGCTACCGGCAAACGGCTAGCGAAGCCCCAGCACCAGCAACACGCATTGGCTCGCCAGTTCCCGGAATCCTGCCTCCTCAGTTGGCCCTAAACCCTAAACCCTAAACCCTAAACCCTAAACCCTAAACCCTAAACCCTAAACCCTAAACCCTAAACCCTAAACCCCATTTGGGGCTTTAGGGCTATGGCGTAAAAGTCTCAGGAGGGATTCTCAAGGGGCTGCATGGGGGCCCCAAGGTTCCAGTGCATAAGAGGGTTTAGGGTTTAGGGTTTAGGGTTTAGGGTTTAGGGTTTAGGGTTTAGGGGTTCAGGGTTTAGGGTTTAGGGGTTCAGGGTTTAGGGGTTAGGGGTTAGGGTCAGGGTTCAGGGTTCAGGGTTCAGGGTTCAGGGTTTAGGGTTCAGGGTTCAGGGTTCAGGGTTTAGGGTTTAGGGTTTAGGTTCAGGGTTTGGGGTTTGGGGGGGCTTGCAGATTCGGGAGAGCTGCCGGGATCTTCAAGGGTTAGGGGGGCTCGGGGTTCGATTCAGGGGTTTAGAAGTTTAGGGGTTTAAAGGGGTTTTAAAGGGGTTTAAAAGGGGTTTTAAAGGGGTTTTAAAGGGGTTTTAAAGGGGTTTAAAGGGGTTTAAAGGGGTTTAAAGGGGTTTAGGGGTTTAGGGGTTTAGGGGTTTAAAGGGGTTTAAAGGGGTTTAAAGGGGTTTAAAGGGGTTTAAAGGGGTTAAGGGGTTTAGGGGGTTTAGGGGTTTTTAGGGGTGTTTAGGGGTTTAGGGGTTTAGGGGTTTAGGGGTTAAGGGGTTTAGGGGTTTTAGGGGTTTAGGGGTTTAAGGGGTTTAGGGGTTTAAGGGGTTTAGGGGTTTAGGGGTTTAGGGGTTTAGGGGTTTAGGGGTTTTAGGGGTTTAGGGGTTTAGGGGTTAGGGGTTTAGGGGTTTGGGGTTTAGGGGGGTTTAAGGGGGGGGTTTAGGGGTTTAGGGGTTTAGGGGTTTAGGGGTTTAGGGGTTTAGGGGGTTAGGGGTTTAGGGGTTTAGGGGTTTAGGGGGTTTAGGGGTTTAGGGGTTTAGGGGTTTAGGGGGTTAGGGGTTTAGGGGGTTAGGGGTTTAGGGGTTTAGGGGTTTAGGGGTTTAGGGGTTTAGGGGTTTAGGGTTTAGGTTTTCAGGATCAAGGGAGCCACGCGTCGTTGAACTGGACCGACGTGCCCTTCTGGTGAAAGGACGGAAGATGTCGCAACGCGTCCGACGCGTCCGCGCTGTACCTGAAAACCTGCTGGCTCGGGTTTCAGGGGTTCCCCTACTACCTGGTTGAGGGTTTGAGGTTTAGGGTTTAGGTTTAGGGTATAGGGTTTAGGGTTTAGGATTTAGGGTTTAGGGTTTAGGGTTTAGGTTTAGGGTTTAGGGCTATACTAGCCCCCTCCCCCCCCTAGGTTCCCACCATAATTCAGGCGATTTAGGGATGATTAAGCCTAGTTAAGGCCATTTAAGGGGGGAACTTAGGGGGGGTAGTAGAGAGGGTGGTAAGGTAGCAGGGAAACTGATGAGGGGTCGTTCGGGGTGGGGCTACTGAAACCACAACACTCATTTTCCAGGGACTCCACATGCCCCCGAACTCAGGAAGTTTCTGAAACACAATACCTGATGTAAGGAAACTTCTGCAACCCTAGACCCTAGACCCTAAACAACCCTGTACCCTAAGCCTAAAGCCTGAACCCTCAATATCGAGGAGTTTCTTGGAAGCATATGGAATACTGCCTCAACCCCTAACTTGAAGCTTCCCCTCGGACCCCTAAGCCCCAGCCTTTAAACCCTAACTGAACTCTAAACCCTGAACCATAAACCTAAAAACCCTAACCCTACCCTACAACCCTACAACCCTACAACCCTACAACCCTACAACCCTACAACCCTACAACCCTACAACCCTACAACCCTACAACCCTACAACCCTACAACCCTACAACCCTACAACCCTACAACCCTACAACCCTACAACCCTACAACCCTACAACCCTACAACCCTACAACCCTACAACCCTACAACCCTACAACCCTACAACCCTCAACCCTACCCTACCCTAACCCTACAACCTTACAACCCTACAACCCTGCACCCTGCAACCCTACAACCACACCCTACAACCCTACAACCCTACAACCCTACAACCCTACCCTACAACCCTACCAACCCTACAACCCTACAACCCTACAACCCTACACCCTACCCAACCCTACAACCCTACAACCCTACAACCCTACAACCCTACAACCCTACAACCCTACAACCCTACAACCCTACAACCCTACAACCCTACAACCCTACAACCCTACAACCCTAAACCTAACAGCCTAAGCACCCTTCAGGGAAGAGTAGACAAGGGATTGGGGCTTAAAGGGGGCTCCTTGCATGCCCTAAGGCTCCGCAAGCTTCCTTCGTTTAGGGTTTAGGGTTTAGGGTTTAGGGTTTAGGGTTTAGGGTTTAGGGTTTAGGGTTTAGGGTTTAGGGTTTAGGGTTTAGGGTTTAGGGTTTAGGGTTTAGGGCTTCGGGTTTAGGGCTTAGGGTTTAGAGTTTGCTTAGGGTCCAAAGACCTAAACAAGCAGACCCCTTAAGAAGTCAGAGACGGCTGAAAACGAGAAAGCTAGACATGCGAGAAAGGGCAAGGGGGGTTGAGGGGTGGCACCCTAAACCCAAAACCAAACCCAAAACCCTAAACCCCTAAACCCAAACCCTAAACCCCTAACCCCTAAAACCTAAACCCCTACATGAACCCTTTGCAGGCTTTAGGGTTTGGTTCCGATGAGGAGACGGCGTCTTGGGGGGGTGGCGCAGGATTTCTCCCACGCGGCATGTCCAGAGCCGAGTGACGAAGATGTGAAGAGGCTTCCGCAAAGGCCGATTCTTCCTGGGCTTCTCTATGTCTTTTTGGGAACGTTTAGGGTTTAAAGTTTAGGGTTTACCATCATCCCTACACCCTCCGCCTCTAGTCCCTTCCCCCTAACATTAAACGGGGGGGCCACCCCCCTAAACGGGGGGGCCCCCCCCCCCCCCCCCCCCTTAAAAATTCGAAAACTGTTTTTTTAATTAGGGGTATTCTTATCGAAATGTCATAATTCATTAGACTTCAGGGTTACTCAAGTAATCAACTTAAGTAACCCTCTGAGGGTTTTATTGGTGTTGAGGGGTTTCTTGGAGGCCTGAACTCCCCCCCCCCCCCTAATTCGGAATAGGGTTTTACAGGCGGGGTTGGTTTCGGCAGGATTTTCCGGAAAGAGTTTTTATCATTAGGGGTCCATTTAATGAAAGGGGGGGGAAGGGATTACAGCCTCAATTCTAAATCTGCTGTTCCGGGGCTAGGGGACGAATGTTTAAAGAGCAGCTTGTGGAGGATTTAGGGTTTAGGGTTTAGGGTTTAGGGTTTAGGGTTTAGGGTTTAGGGTTTAGGGTTTAGGGTTTAGGGTTTAGGGTTTAGGGAATGGGCAGGGGTTCAGGGGTGGAGGGTTTACACCCAAAAACCTGAAGCCCTCGATGGGCTGAACGTTGGAGATCTAGTAGCCCTATACCCTAAACCCTAAACCCTAAACCCTAAACCCTAAACCCTAAACCCTAAACCCTAAACGACTATAGCTTGCCCGTACTTAAAACCCCCGTCCTACCTAGCCTTGCCTCCCAGTCGGACCACAAGAACGCAGGGTTTCGATATTTGGGCGTAATGTGAAACCGATTTCGGACCCTTAGCCCTGTTTGGGGGTTTGGGTTTTAGCGTTTGGGGTTTAGGGTTTGGGGTTTAGGGTTTAGGGTTTGGGGTCTAGGGTTTGAACCCTAAACCCTTTAACCTTTGTAGCTTCTCTTCCGAGCCGCCCAGAACTCGCAATGGCCTTCACAAAGGTGTCCAAGACCTCTACATCTGTTAGCATTGCGTAAGGTACCTCGGTTGGAGCGGGCGTATGGGGCTTACAGGGTTTCGTAACCCGAAACCCTAAACCCTAAACCCTAAACCTGTAGGATCTAGGGTTAAGGGCGCACCTCGAGCCGCAATAGAACCCCATAACCCTGAGAACCCTGAAGCCTGAAACCCCTAAAGCCCCTAAAGCCCCGCTAACACCCTGAAGCTTCAACGTTTAGGGTTTAGGGTTTAGGGTTTAGGGTTTAGGCCCCTAACCCCCCCCCCCTCCCCCCATAAAACCCCAACCCTAAACCCTTAAACCAGTAAAACCCGAAACCCTAACCTCTAGACCCCTAAACCCGAAAGCCCTAGAGCCCAAACCCCGCAAACCCCACCCCCCTAAACCTCCTAACCCCTGTCCCACGAAACCTCAGACCCCAAACCCCTAAAACCGAAACCCTCAGTTGCACGAAATGAGTTAGTGAGCCAGCGTCCCTAAACTCTGTAAACATAACCCCTCCGAAACCCTACTAAAACGTTTAGGGTTTAAGGTTTAGGCTAACCTCAAGCCCTAAACCCTGAACCCAAAGCCGAAACCCTCCGATCCCAAAGCCGAAGCCCTCCGATCCCCGATTCCTAAACTCCTCGGGTTTAGGGTTTAGGGTTTAGGGTTTAGGGTTTAGGGTTTAGGGTTTAGGGTTTAGGGTTTAGGGTTTAGGGTTCCACCGCAACCCCCCCCCCCCCCCCCCTCCCCACAAAGAAGGGAAAAAAAAAAAAAAACAGGATTCCCTCAATCCGAGAAACTCCTTAAGCCCTCCACCAAGACTCCCACACTCCCCAAAACCTCCCTAAGCTCCTCGACCCTCAAAGCCCTAAACCCTAAACCCTAAACCCTAAACCCTAAACCCTAAACCCTAAACCCTAAACCCTAAACCTTAAACCCTAAACCTCCCTAAAAGCCCTACTCCCCCTAAACTCCCCCTTCAATCTGCGAAGCTGCATCCGCCCTGGTGTTCAGCCACTTGATCAAAGCCCGTGGCGTCCAGAACCTGCTCATTTCAACGTATCTTAGGGCAAATTACACGGTCCCTTAGTATAGGCCCTGAAAAGGGGACCCTTTATATACCCCTTAAACAATCACAACCCAAGGCCCCATATCTCAGAGCTGCTGAGTTCAACTACAACTACTTTCAAACGCGAATGACAAAACCCAGGCCCCCCCCCCCCCCACACACCCTAAACCCCAAAACCTTAAACCCTAAACCCTGAACCCTAAACCCGAAACCCCAAACCCGAAACCCTGACCCCAAGCAGCGCCCATCCTAGTTCTCACGGAGAGGGGCATCATCCCCCTTTTGACCATCAGCCCGGCGCATGCACATTCATCAAAGAACAGGGTTTAGGGTTTAGGGTTCAGGGTTCAGGGTTTAGGGTTTAGGGTTAGGGCTCAGGGTTTGGTATTTCGGGTGATCGTCATATGAAAGAGTTAAGGGGTAAAAGGAGGGACCTCTAGAAGGGACCCTTAATCTGTATTCCCTGAAATAACCCCTATATATATATACTACATTTCCCCCGAAATAACCCCTAAGGTCCCGCGTAAGGGCCCCTCCTTTCGTCCCTTCACAGAGTTCAACGGCAGTCTCGGGGGCTGACGTGCATGATTGAAGTGACGAGCCTGAACCCTGAACCTTAATCCCTAAACCCTAAACCCCAAACCCTAAACCCTAAACCCTAACCCCTAAACCCTGAACCCTAACCCTAAACCCTAAACCCTAAACCCTGAACCCTGAACCCTGAGAAGAGAAGTGAGAACTCTTGGCGCAGCTTCTCAAGGACTTCACTCACAGCTCCTAGATCCTAAAGCCCTCAACCCGAAGGCCCTCAACGCCTTAAACCCTTAAACCCTTGCACCCGTAAACCCTTCAATCCTTAGACCCTGAGACCCTTGAACCCTGAAACCCCGCGCCCCTAAACCCTTGAACCCTCAATGCGGCAGGGAGGCGGTACCACCACGCCGCCTTTGGCATTGACGGCCTCGTGGATCTCTGCCTCTCGGACAGTTAGGGTTTAGGGTTTAGGGTTTAGGGTTTAGGGTTTAGGGTTTAGGGTTTAGGGTTTAGGGTTTAGGGTTTAGGGTTTAGGGTTTAGGGTTTAGGGTTTAGGGTTTAGTGGTTAGGGTTTAGGGTTTAGGGTTTAGGGTTTAGGGTTTAGGGTTTAGGGTTTAGGGTTTAGGGTCTAGGGTTTAGGGTCTAGGGTCTAGGGTTTAGGGTTTAGGGTTTAGGGTTTAGGGTTTAGGCTTTAGGCTTTAGGGTTTAGGGTTTAGGCCTTCGGGTTTAGGGTTTAGAGTTTAGGGTTTAGGGGTTAGCGTTGAGCCCTACCTTCACCCCCCCGTGAACCCTCAACCGACCTGGAGCCCACGACCCTAAAGCCTAACACTAGACCCTAGACCCTAGACCCTAGACTCGAAACCCTAAACCCTAAACCCTGAACGCTCATCTCTAAAACACGAAACCCCAAAACGAAGGGTAGCGCAGGTCTTGGGCTCAGTGCAGAGGTCTTGCTGGGGTTTCGGGTTTAGGATTTAGGGGTTACGAGTTTAGAGTTTAGGGCTTAGGGTGCAGGGTTTAGGCGGTTAATCATTTGCTTCCCGTCAGCCCTTGAGGTATGTAGGGTTTAGGGTTTAGGGTTTAGGGTTTAGGGTTTAGGGTTTAGGGTTTAGGGTTTAGGGTTTAGGGTTTAGGGTTTAGGGTTTAGGGTTTAGGGTTTAGGGTTTAGGGTTTAGGGTTTAGGGTTTAGGGTTTAGGCTCCGAAACAACGAGCACCCCATAATACATCGAACCATGGGCATGTAGGGACCTAAACCCTAAACCCTAAAGACAAACAAGCCAACTTCTACGATTCAGGGCATCCTTAGGGTTTAGGGTTTAGGGTTTAGGGTTTAGGGTTTAGGGTTTAGGGTTTAGGGTTTAGGGTTTAGGGTTTAGGGTTTACGGTTTAAGGTTGTCATTCATTATTGTGGCTTATTATCAAGATTTTCGAGTTCCCCCAGTACCTAGGCGAAAAAACACGAGTGACCTTGTCTGCGCAAAAGGAGGGCCAGACGCCCAGAAACTCCAATACCCTTACATCATGAATCTTCCTAAACGACAAACCCTAAACCTAAACCCTAGTCCCTAACAATTATGTTCGTAGTCCTCATCAGAACAGGCATTATAAGAGAGGTTCTCCGGGCAGGGGCATGATTCAAGCTGACCCGCGGAGCCTAAAGGCTTGAAGGCAGAGGGCCCTTCAGGAAAAGAAAAAAAAAAACAGCCGGGGCCTTGATACGAACGTGCTCCTGCAAGGCCGGCGTGGCGTGGTTGAGAAGGTTTTTTGGGGTTTTAGGGTTCAGGGCAGGGGTCTGGGGTTTAAGGCTTGTGGGGTCTTCAAGGCCCTTTGGAGCATGTAGGGGGCTTCGGTTTAGGGCTTCGAGGCTTCGGTTTCAAGTCTCTGGATTTAGGGGTTGGTTTCCTAGGGTCGAGGGTGTTTTTGGATTGGGGGCTTCGGTTTAAGAAGCGGCCAAACTTGAAATGTACGCAGTGAGCTAGGTTTAGGGTTGAGGGTTTAGGGTTGTTGGGGTTTAGGGTGGGCTCAGGGTTCAGTTTTTTGGAAGGCTAATTTTGCAAGGGCCAAACTTGACACGTACACTCTGAGTATGGCCTTTTCCCATATTGACCCTGTCGGCTAGGGGGTACCCATTCCAAGCCAAACCCAAACCCGGAACCCGGAACCCGGACCCGAAACCCGAAACCCGAAACCCGAAACCCGCAACCCGAAACCCGAAACCCTAAACCCTAAACCCTAAACCCTAAACCCTAAACCCTAAACTCACCTCACACCCCCAACCACCTAGCCGGACTCTCAAAGCCCTGAAGCCTAACAGCACCTTCCCAGAAACTCCAAAACCCCTTAATTCAGGAATATCCTTTAGGGTTTAGGGTTTAGGGTTTGGGGTTTAGGGTTTAGGGTTTAGGGTTTAGGGGCATTATATACCTTATTCCGCCGACCCCCTTTGTCGGCGTCAAGAAGCTGGACTCGTACCTTTCCCGCTGGACCCGCTAGTGCCCTTCCCCATGGACCCGCGCGGCTTGCTTCCTACCTGCATGGAACCACGCGTATTGTAACCCACCTCCACCCGCCTTTTGTGACCCATTCCCCTACCACCCCTTCGGCAAAGTGGACCCCACCCACCCCCTTGCCCTTCCCGCCCCCCCCCCCCCCCCCCCCCAACCCTGCCCCCCTCCCCCTTAAACCAGAAAAAACATTGTGAGCCCCCCGCCAGGTGGCCGCCCCCCCCCAAACCCTCCGCCCTCCCCTCCACCTCAGCTTCCTTTTTCAGGTGAACCAAAACTGTACCTAACCGCACGTTTTGTGAGCCATTTCCTTCCACCCCCCCCCCCCCCCCCCCCCCCCCCCCCCCCCCCCCCCCCCCCCCCGCCCCCCCCCCCGCCCCCCCCCCCCCCCCCCCCCCCGCCCCCCCCCCCGCCCCCCCCCGCCCCGCTGCGCGTTTGTGTCCCTGCCCCCCCCCCCTCCAAGGTTCCCCCCCCCCCCCCCCCACCCTCCGTCCCCCCCACCCCCGCCTTCCCCTAAACGAAACAACGCGTGAGCCCTCTGAGGTGGCCCCCCCCCCCCCCAACCCCCCTTCCTAACAACCAATTTTGTGCTTTGGAACGTGGCCAAACGGATGGAACGGCGCGTTTTGTGCGCCATTTCCCCCCACAAACCCTGCGCCCCCCGCCACCTTAGCCAGAAAAAACAACCAACTTTGGTTTTGGAACGTGGTGCCCCCCCCCCCCCCCCCCAACCCGCCCCTCCACCTTAGCTTCTTTTGCCAGGCGAAACAACCAATTTTGTGCTTTGGAAGGTGGCCAAGCGATGGAACCTTCCGTACCTCCCCCCCCCACCCTGCGAAGGCCGGGCGAGGTCCGCAGCGGCGGCAGCGGCGTCAGCCTCTAAATCGGGCAGCGCGAAGTCCCCAAGGACCGAGCATTGGCGGACCTTTTAATACGGGTCGTCCCGGGAATAGCCTTGCTAGCGCGAGGTCCCCAAGGACCGAGCATTGGCGGACCTCCGGGTCGTCCCGGGAATAGCCTTGCTAGCCTGCGGCCTTCTGCGAAGCAGAATTGGGCCGGACGCCAGTGCCGCCGACCCCCGTGTGCCGCCGGTGAACGGTTTTTTTTTCGTGTTTTTTTGCGTCGCCACGGAGGCCCCCAGAGGGCGCGCATCATGAGCATCAGCGGGTCCAGCCCGGAACACCCAAGGCGCGCATCAGGAGCATCAGGCGGCTCCCGGGGCGGGACCCCGGGGGCGCATCAGGAGCACGATGCCCCCCAAAGGGCGGGCATAAGCGACGTGTCTAAGCCCGCTGCTAGGAAAAAGGGAGTTTAGGGGCCTTGTAAAGTGCTTAGAAACTTTAAGGGAGTCTAGGAGCCTCAAACGCTTAGAGATTTGAAGGGAGTTTAGGGGCCTGAAAATGCTTAGAAACTTTAAGGGTTGAGGAGCCTCAAACGCTTAGAGATTTTAAGGGAGTTTAGGGGCCTCAAAATGCTTAGAAACTGCTCGCCCCGCGCTTCTGCCTGCGCTGCCCGCCCATGGGCGCAGCCCCTTAAAATAAATTCAAGGGCCCATACTTCAGAGATAGTGAATTACGCAAATTGTGGTCTTTTTGTGGGTACCCTAAATAAGGTCATAAGGACCAAAAAAGGGACCATAGTTTACGTTTTAGGGGTTTGAGGGCTTAGGGTTTAGGGTTTAGGGTTCAGGGTTTAGAGAAGTGACGTCTTGAGGGACCATGGTGTTTAGGTCACAGGGCCAACGACCAAGGCAAGGTTCAGGCTTCTAGGGCTGAGGGTTTAGGGTTTAGGGCTTAGGGCTTAGGGTTTAGGGTTTAGGGCTTAGGGTTTCAGGTTTCCGGGTTGAGGGTTTCGGGGTTTCGGGTTTGGGGTCCCCCTCCCCGGTCCCTGTCCTGCGACTTGTAGTAGTCCGCACACCATGCCAGGTGCCAAGATGCATCCTTGACAAAGTTGCCTCCAGGGCCTAAACCCTAAACCTAAACCCTAAACCCTACACCCTAAACCCTAAACCCTAAACCCTAAACCCCATGCAGTGACTTCTCGTCTGTCTTCACTTGCGAGTTCGGGTTCTCGGGTTTCGGGTCTAGGTGTTTAGGTGTTTAGGGTTTAAGGTTTAGGGCTCAGGGTTTGGGGGTTTAGGATTCTTCCTGCTGTGCTTCATGCGATACGCACGCTCGTAGCATCCGCATTGCTGGTGACTCCATTTGTCGGGCCTTGTCTCAGAAACATTGATTTGTGCACTTCGGACGCCGACATGCTTAGTCACTGTGACTTCTCTAGCTATTCAAAGGCCGTTTTAGGGCTGCGGGCTTGCCACTCGCCACTGCTTAGGAAGTGTCTTTGATGTGAGTTTAGAGAATAGACTGGTCAGCTATCAAACATAGCCTTACAAATTCTCCCTGAAATGCTCAACATCTTAGAAAGCGTCCGCGAACCTCTGGAAAAAACTCTCGGAACGCCCCCCCCCCCCCCCCCCAAAAAAAAAAAAAAAAAACAAACGAAACCCTCAACCCTAACCCCCCAAAAGCTTTCTTGGAGCTTTGCCCGGGAAGGGAAGGGGGGGTGGAGCCGGGGACGGCCCCACTACCTGAAGATCAGGGTTTAGGGATGAGTGTTTAGGGGTGAGTGGTTAGGGTTTAGGGTTAGGGTTTAGGGATGCTGAGTGTTTAGAGGGCAGGAATTTGTGGCGTAAAGGTTGGGGACTTCCCAGAGGGTTTAGGGTTTCAAGTTTAGGGCTATATCCTTGGATCCTCTGAACCTTATAACCCTGAAACCTTTGAACCCTATAACCCTAAACCCTCTCAACCCTACAACCCTAAACCCTCTGAACCCTAAACCCTATGAACCCTTGCAAGCACCCCTAAACCGTAAGCCCTAAACCCTAAACCCTGAACCCTCTGAACCCTCTGAACCCTCTGAACCCTCTGAACCCTAGTCCCTATGAACCCTTGCCCCCTAAACCCGGGGGGGGGGGGGGGCCGGCCTCTCGCGGGATAGCTGATGCCGAGCATCTGAGGCGGGCCACAGCTGGGTTTAGGGTTTAGGGTTTCGGGTTTCGGGTTTAGGGTTTAGGGTTTCGGGTTTGGGGTTTCGGGTTTCGGGTTTAGGGTTTAGGGTTTCCTAAAGGGACGCTGTGGACGCTTGTCTGGTAAAAACAAGCGTCGACAGTGTTCAAAAAAGACAACCCCAACTATTAATATTTTTTAAATAACGGGAAGTGACAAATCGCCAGCAGTGTCCCCCTTAAGTTGTTGACAAATCGCAAGCAGTGTCCCCCCAAGTTGTTGCAAAACCTGAGCTCCCAAAATGACAAATCGCAAGCAGTGTCCCCCTTAAGCGTGGGGGTCCAAGAGGGTTCTTGGCTCCGGGCCCCCCTGACATTAAACAAAAGTACTTTTGAAATGTTTTAGTTGGGGGGCACTAGAGAACATAGAGCTGTAAACCATATAGACATTCAGGGCATATCTGTTGCTACAGGGTTTGGGGCTAGGGTTTAAAGAGAAGCCCGAAACCCTATAGGTGAAGCAATTTAAGCCGAAACCCAAGTTAAGGTGTGACGGTCTAGGCTCTAAGATTTAGGCATTTGTACCTAAGCCGGCAACTAAACCTAAACCCTCAACCTTTAAACCCTATAGGGCTAAGGTTTAATGGTGTAGGCTCTGAGCCCCCTTTAAGAACCCTGTAATCGTAGGGTTCGTTTACGAATGATCGTCCTTTATAGTCCCTTTAGAATTATACTACAATGCCCCGCAAAACCCTATGCAAACTATTAAGGCCCCTCTCTCTATATATATATATATAACCCTAAACCCTAAACCGTAAACCCTAAACCCTAAACCCTAAACCCTGTAGACCCTATAGACGCTATAGACCCTATAGACCCTATATAGACCCTATAGACCCTATATTTTGGGGGTACAAGAAATAGATACCCTACTTCATATCGACCCTATAGACCCCATAGACCCTATAGACCCTATAGACCCTATAGACTCTAAACCCTAAGGGTGCTGGACTCAGGGGCTTCAACCGAAAAGTCGTCGAAATTCAGCATCCGACAAGTCCAAGTGAGAAAGCAATCTGTGCCTAACCCTACTGGTTCTGAGTAGGGAGTGAGGAGATTCGGTACCCTATAGAATCCCCTAAAGTTTGTATAGGGGAATGACCTTTGCGCTGCCCCGCCATTTCTGGATTTCGAAGTCACCAGGTGGCCTTTACTCCAAAGCCCCGAGGTCTAGGGCTTGGGTTTGAGGATTAAGGGTTAAGGGTCTTGGGTTTCGGGTTTAGGGTTTCGGGTTTAGGGTTTGGGGTCTCAAGCCTCCCAACCTAAACCCGACACTCCCCAACCCTTGTCAGGCAGCAGGCCGCTTGAGCAGATTGCACGGCATCCTGGGCGGGTCTGGGTTTAGGGTTTAAGGTTTAGTTAGGGCTTAGGGCTTCGGGGCTTAGGGGCTTAGGGGCTTAGGGCTTAGGGCTTGGGGCTTAGGGCTTAGGGCCTAGGGCTAAGGGTTAGCTAAGGGTTTATACTTGCAAAACAGAGCAATGAGGGCCTACTCTGGGTCCTAGGCGGGTTGGTCCCAGCAAAAATCGTGGCTTAACTCTACACCCTCTAAAACCCTAAACCCCAAACCCTAAACCCCAAACCCTAAACCCCAAACCCTAAACCCCAAACCCTAAAGGGTTTAGGGTTTCGGGTTTCGGGTTTAGGGTTTGGGGCTGAGGGTCTAGGGTTTAGGGTTCAGGGCTTAGGGTTTAGGATGCAGGGTTCTTAAGGACAGTTCGTACAAGGGGGAACATTCCAACCCGCAACCAACACCCTAAAGAAACCGTCGCCCTCAACCAGCAGGGCCCCACACGACCCCAAACTTCATGCCCCAACCTTCACAAAGAGCTTTGGCTTTGGCCCGAGGGTCTACAGGGCCCGATAATCTTGAACATAGCAAGTCCCCCCAAGCAGGGTCTAAAGGGCCCGATAATTCTTCGGGCCCTCACAAGGGTGCCCCTGAAATACCCCTTACATACCCTATACAATTAAGGGCCCATACATCAGAACCCTTTAAAGAAGGCTAGGGACCTTCGAGGATATTTAGGGGTTATGTAGGGCCTACTTAGGCTTGTCATAGGGTTTAGAAGAGGTAGATTGAGTTTTTTTTATAGGAAAATACTTCTAGGGGTCCCTCCTTATACCCCTTAAGGGTTTAGGGTTTAGGGTTTAGGATAGTCTTGATCATAACCCAAGCCCTAAGTTCTCCGAGGAGCCCCAATATCCCTCTTAGGTAAGGAGCAATAGGCCCTGGATTGACATCAGGATCCCTGATCCGTTCTAAGGAAACTGCTCAAGGAAGGACCCGAAGCCCTAGCCCTAAACCCCAAACCCTAAACCCTAAACCCTAGACCCTAAACCCTAAACCCTAAACCGATCGGAAGCCAAACCCTAGACTCCCGACATGCGCACGCTAAGGTCATGGCATGACCTGGCCATGGGGACGGAGGAATGATGCCTTGATAGGGCGTTAGGTGTAGGGCTTAGGGTTTAGGGTTTAGGGTTTAGGGTTTAGGGCTTAGGGTTTCGGGTAGAGAGTAGAGGGTATGCAGGGTTCAGGGTTGAGGGTTACAGGGTTCAGGTTTAGAGGTTTTAGGGCGTGGGGCTTCTTCTGTTCGTGGGGTTGTGCGGCTTTGTGTTTGGAAGGTTAGGAGTTATATCCCTAAACCCTAAACCCTAAACCCTGGACCCTAAACCCTAAACTCTAACCCTTAACCCGGGTTTTTTGCCAGAGAGGAGGATGCCAGCAGTCGGATTGCTGTAAGCGTGGGTCACATAAGATGCCATGGTTCAGAAGGCCCGATGCGCCTTGATAAGGAATAAACGGTTTCGGGTTTAGAGTTTAGGGTTTAAGAGCTTAGCAAAATCTTACCCTGAACCCTTTCTGAAACCCTATTAATAAACCCTGAACCCCGTGAATCAAGGTAGGTTCCTTATCTTAGGGCGCGTTGGGCTGTGCTCTCGAGAATGGAGAAAAGGGCCAGACGACGGACAGGGATCAGATGCCCACGTTTAGGGTTTAGAGTTTAGGGCTAGGGTTTCGGGTTTAGGGCTTAAGGATTGGGGTTTGGGGTTTTAGGGTTCAGGGTCTAGGGTTTAGGGTTCAGGGTTTAGGGTTCAGGGTTTAAGGGGTTTAGGGTTTAGGTTTTAGGGTTTAGGGTTCAGGGGGCTCAACACCATGACTGGGAAGAGCCGCACCTCCACAGTAGCGTTTGTGTCCACCTTGCTAAGATGTAAAAATGGGGCCTTTCCGAAAATAGGGTTTAGGGTTTAGTGTTTAGGGTTTGCCCTAAACCCTAAACCCTTTTTGGGGGAGTCGCTTTTAAGGGGATTCTCTTCTATTTGGGATATAAACAGGGCACCCCGGAAATACCCACAGAAAACTCCAAAGAAGATCCAGCTTGAACGAGAGCAGCTCGATCGCGGTGGGGTTCCGACTTTGAAGACTCCCCAACCCCGACCGCCCCAAGGCGCGAAACAAAGTTTAAGCCCTATACTCTACACCCGAAACCCTAATCCTAAACGCAACTTTGCACTGGAACGTGCACAGCCATGCCCAACAAACGTACCATATGGCAGCTGATCGAAATCGTGGCAAACCGCCTCCATTTTCCTGAAGGGTTCAGGGTTCAGGGTTCAGCGCTTAGGTTATTTGGGGTTTCGTTCTTGTACACACAAAGCCGAAACAAAAACAGGCCCCCCGAACTTCGAACAAAGCAGACCGCCTTAAAAAGGCACAAGCCCAGAAGACGCGCAAGCTCAGAAGGCGTACATGACGTCCATGCAAGGAGTGGTTTTGGGATTAGGGTTTAGGGTTTAGGGTTTAGGGGTTAGGGGTTTAGGGTTTGGGGTGTAGGTGTTTAGGGGCGTAAGGTAAGAATGATCCCGGGCCATGCTTGTTGCCCCCTAAACCCTAAACCCTAAACCCTAAACCCCAAACCCTAAACCCTAAACCCCAAATCCTATGAGATAAATAACTGCGGCGGGTTTCTGGGGCCGCCGGAATAGCAGTTGGTGAACTGCACCGGCTGCATGGGCATGGGCGCCTGCCATTTTAACCCGAAGCCCCCCGCAACAAAATCATAGAGCCCTCAAGACCCTATAACCCAAACCCTATAACCCTAAACCCTAAACCCCAAACCCTAAACCCTAAACCCCAAACCCTAAACCCTAAACCCCAAACCCTAAACCCTAAACCCCAAACCCTAAACCGCAGGATCTTGGGGATTTCTGGGAAAGGGGAGTGGAGCCGGGGAGCCCGGTGACAAACAAGATCCAAAAGCACTTCAGGCAGAAACCGTGAAGTTCTCCATCACAGCACTAGCTTTTAAGCCCTAAACCCTAAACCCGAAACCCTAAATGGTCGGCAGCAATTAGTCCAACCTCGAGCGGGGCTTCTCCTGTGATTTTTTGCTGTGGCTAACAAATCATGTGCACTGACTTCACAAGTTCAAAGTGCACCGACCCGAAACCCGCTGTATAGATAAACCACGAGTTTCAGGCTGGTACACTTTTGTGGATGAAAAATATACATATGCATATATATATATATGTACATGGTTATTTATCTTTTGTTGTTTGGCTCTTGTCCCGTAAGCTAGTTCTTTTTCTTTCAGTAGGAAAACCACATCTTCTCTATTTGTTAACAGGAAACCCCTTCCTTTCTCTGGATTTTCATAGGAAAGCCTCTATCTTAATAGGAAAAACTCTATGTTCCTATATTTTTGACAACAAAACCTCCAGTTTCTCTACACTTTGATAGCAAAACCTCTATTTTCTCAAAACTTAATAGGAAAACCTCTAGTTTATCGATATCTTTACAAGATAGTTTATCGATATCTGTACAAGAAAACCTCAATTTTCTTCATACGGCTTGAACAAGTGGGGTGTGGCGGGCACAGCCCCCCCCCCCCCCCCGTTGCAGACTTGCTTCAAAAAGATTCATATGATGTTGAAGCAAGCTCGCGG